CCCCAAAACCCCAAAACCCCAAAACCCCAGAAGGAATAAAAGTATTGATTAAAGTATTTATAACCAGAGATGAAAGTAACACCAACCGAGCGCAAGAACATGGACCTCATCACTAGGAATGCATGAAGTGCTAACTTAAGACCTGTAAAAGTCTTTTTGATAGGAAAAGAGCATGTCCACCATGTCTTCTCTTACGATGTTATCCTTCCTAGGAAAGGGAAGGAAACTTCAGTTACAGAGATGATTCTCAAACATCATAAAATGAAGCAGGAGGTCATGAATAGTAAGAAATATCACAAGATCTTCTTGGATAAGGATGATAATTTTGTGTTTGCTGAGAAACCCGCACAAAATAAGGACTCTAATATTCTCCAGAAACTGGAAAATCCAGAGACTGCCAAATTTGAGAAAAGTAAGCACTTTTAAGAAATAGAGCTTGATAATATTTTATACTAGGCTTTCAGCAAAAAGTTGAGGAGATAAACATAAATAGGAAGATAAATATGCTTACTAGGCTGCTAGAGCATCCAAAGCTTGAAGAGTCATTTGACAGCAAGGAATCAGATAAAATTCAGGAGAAGTTGCATGATTTCTATATCCACCCTCTGGTCTACCCAGGTCTTGACTCATTAATGGCGGATATTAATTTCAAAACTTTTGAGAAGTTCGTTCCATGAATGGTATTTAGTCATGAATATAAGCCTATCATCAGTGTGGACCAGGCCAGGAAGTTCATATTCATAATCTCCACAGATTATTGGCAAACAATTGTCTCAAGACACTGTAAAACCTCTGAAGAAAATCCAGAGGAGATCACCAGCAGGCTAATTGAGAAAATCCATGATTTGATCATGTCAAAGTAGAAAGTTAGTGATCCCCTTCCAAGAAGAATTTGAGTTCAACCGTCCGAAGAAGGTCGATTTGAAGAACCTCCCTTTTGAAGAAGGGATATATGATCTTAATGAGGGTGATAAAGGAGCCTATGAGAGAACCCAGAAGAAGATCTATAAGCAAGACCCATTGCTTTATAATAGTAAGTCCTTACCTAATCAGCTCATAAGGGTTTTATTTTCCCACAATAAAGCTTCTTATATGTAATGCACTAGGAGATCATCAGGGATTTTCCCTAAATTTTTATTATTGAAGATAGACTTATACCAACACAACTTTGCAACAAGTATCAGATCATGGCTTAAAATATAGTACTTAAAATTCTTTCTAGAGATTTGGAAATTCAAACGAGGAGTAGGAAATATTGCACCAGGAACAAGTTTTGGAGCCTCTCCTGAACATCTTCGGAATTCCAAGTTGGCAAGAGTTAGCAGCAGTCTTCCTATGCTAGGTCATGTCTATTCTAAAAATGCACCTAGTTCAAAGATCTCAGCCCAGGTTTCAAATAACAATACCAGCTCTAAGGCTTCTAAATTGGCAATGACGAGTTATAGGCGTAGCCAAAAATGAGGGAAAGGATTATCCGTACTAGAAAATATGAAGTTCAGCGAGCCCACGAATCTTAATAAAAACTGCAAGCGAAATAAAAATCTATTTGGATCCTTCACTACTAAGCCAAAGCAGAGTAAGAGCATTTCCACTCTGACTAAGATAGGTACGGTTGATTATCAGGCTATGAAAAGTAACTACAATCAGTTCCTTGATCCGAAGTATATTAAATCTCAAAGGTAGGTTTGAATTGCAATTCCTGATCAAGCAAAAGCTTATCAGGCTTTATAAAGAATTCTCATGAATAAGTCTAGCTTAGAGAACAACCTATAGAGATATTAGTGATGTCTAAAATTTTTACAATAAACTCAAGGCCTATATACTTCAGGAAATTACAGCTACAGGACTAATTTTAATCTAGCTTGGAGGCAAAATCCCCATTCAGAAATGCCAAATTAGGGGATTTAAAACAGTGCAAAAGAAATAATGCAGCTATGAGATACTACTCGACGAAGAAGATTGAAAGTAAGCTCTACCGATATAGCCACTTTATAGATAAAGAAAAACTGTACAAGCCATATAAAGTAGGGAAAGAATTGCTAAAAAACCAGAGAAAAAGAAAAAATAGACTCTCTGCATCTAGTACAGTTAAGGATACTAAGCAGTTGGAGTATCTAAGCCCAGAAGCTCAACCTTGTAAGATCTGTGATATATCTCTAGCATTAAATGACTTAAAGATCAGAGCACCCAACTTTGAATCTTTGTTAATCCTCAAGACTGGGGATTTTTTGAAATCGTTCACACACAAAAGAAAATTCTTTAAAACCAATAAGACCAATGTTTCCCTTAGTACTTGTTGTTATAATTTGCAGAAAAATCAGCTAAAATTCTTATCCCGCTCGAAGTGATTGCTCAGAGAAACAGAGTGAAGTAAGATCTACTATTACCTATTATTTCTCCATTTAGTGAGACTTATGTTATCACATTTAATAGAAAATCAATAAACAGGGAACGTTTCCCTTCATCTAAAGTGAATGAGGTATGTCTTTCCTTACTTCTTTATAGCCTCATAAATATGTAAAAATTCCAAAGCAAGGGCACCAGGTAAGCCTTTATTGATTAGTATAGCAGCTACTTAATCCAAACTCTGATCTTGGTCATTTCATCCCTTAAATGATATTATTCAACAAATGCACATCGCAGAGGGGTTTTGGGGTTTTGGGGTTTTGGGGTTTTGGGG